TTTATTTGTTCAAATAGTTCATACTCAGATTCCTTTAAAGATCATGAGACAGAATCATGCTTTTGAATCTGACCTGAATGATTTTTCAGAAAAAATTAGTAGCCAAGGTCCCAAGAACAGACAGTCAAGGGAATGTAGCTTTGTTAAACCAGGAGGCAAGTGCACTGCTGCCCGTGCACTAGCACTGGAGAGCCCACTATGGAGAAAAGAGGCACTAGAAATACACACATTTCCTGACAAAAATCTAGTCTAAAATGTATGAATTAATGAATAGAACACCAGTCTTACTTAGCCTTAGAGGGTAGTGTGACTTTGGGTACAATATTCAGAGAGAAAGTTTCCACCCTGACAGAGGTCAGTCCTTTTTAGAACCCGGATCTGAGTTCTGATCTCAACTCTATCACTTACTGACATCATTGTCTAGGCATCTCTAAACAGACCCTACAGCTCACCATGAAGATTCATTTCACTATCTGAAGCACTATGTTTTAAGAGTCTGTGAGCAAATATAAAGGTTGGTGGCTTTGAGGGCGCTACCCACATAACTCTTAAAATGCCACTACAAATAATCTAGATAGAGAAGGTGATGCCTTCAGCTCATGAGTAACTAACTCCTGCATGCCAAAGGGGTTTTCCCAGCAGCAAACGGTTAAGATTCCACTGGTATGGAGATGCTAATCATCACTGGTTTCATTTCTTACAGGTAGCCTTCAGTCCTGTACACTGATTCCATGCCTGGAATGTCAACTTCCACAGATGCATGGTTCAGAGGCTCCATGCTGCCACAGCAGGATTCTGTTGTAAAAGAGCAGAGTGTCCACACTTTACCTCAGGGACTAACTGAGCCACCTCACAGCATGACTCTTTTTTTAATCTAAACTAGTCTATGCCTCACACTTGTTGGGGCCCTACTCCTTCTCTCCCTCCACAGCAAACAACACCTATGCAGCTTAGCCAGGGCTAGTCAGGAACCCAAGTCTGAGTCCCACGGTAAGGTAAGATGCCTTTAAGAGTTTTCAGTAAAGGAAAAAGGGCTAGAAACTTTTTTTTTTTTTTTTACTTTCCTTACTCTTAAAAATTATGCATGATACACAAGCATGAAAGTATCATGGAGCTTCTAGGAAACTCATGAGGGGCAATGCTCAAATGGTATTAAGATATTGTATAGCAGTGGGGACAGTTTCCTGTTTACTAACTCATCAACAAACTCTATCCACTGGTGGACTAGTTGGTGACCTTGATACAAGTTCAGGTTTACATTAAGAGCATGGGCTCTAACTTCTCTCTCTCTCTTTTTTTTTTTTTTCGAGACAGGGTTTCTCTGTGTAGCCCTGGCTGTCCTTGAACTCAGAAATCTGCCTGACTCTGCCTCCCAAGTGCTGGGATTAAAGGCGTGCGCCACCACCGCCCAGCAGGCTCTAACTTCTCAAGAGGCAACTTCAATCCCCTTAGTTAGCCCATCTAAGGACAGGGAGCACAGGGAAGGAGTAAAAGGCCCAAGAAACCAAATGGATGGGGACAGAACAAGGTTCATGGGGCTCAGAGAATATGAGTACTTTTTAAGCAACACAGCCATCTTGTGGCCATTTCAGATGCTGTCGTATCATACTTATTCCTGCACTTTTGCAGGAAGAACAGTCCCAACAGTACCACTTGCCTCAGCTCCATGCCTGCTGTGCCCTCCCTAACAACACTAAACTGTGAAGAGTAAGATGCTTGTAAACTAACTATACATATACTAATAAAGTCACAGCATTATTACAGAACTGAAACACACTAACACACAAGTACTTGTTTGCAGGCACATGAGGCAATGTTCACATCAATCAGGAGGCACAACCCAATAAACAAAGCACAATTTTAAACATTTAAAAATTACAGGATACCAAAATATGGTAGAGGACTCCAACATCAGAGAGCATTGTATCTATTTTCTGTGCTGCCTTAGGCTTCCTCCCACAGGTAGTGCAGAGGGCACAAAGCTCAAGAGGTATTTGCCAGTAAATTCGTATCACATAGTTCCACTATGCCAATAGCTTAATTCAACTACTCTTTCTGTTTTCCTCAGTATGTGTTGATGTTTAGTACAGCAGCAAGACTGAATTACCCCTGTGCATGCTTTACTCCATCTTTTAGCAGAAAAGTCTTATGTCCTGCTGCCTGGTGAAGCTGCATGCTTCCTGTGCTAGGGAATTTCAAGAAAATTTAGCCTCACCTAGAGTAAGTACAAATAAGGGGAACCATCCAAAATACACCACAAACATGCAAAGTTTTCCAGGTCTGGAAAGAATTTAATATCCAAAATGAAATAGACATTGTATGCAACTATTCCAAAGGCAGGGTGTTAGCCTTACTTTACTGAAAAGGATAGGCAAGGACAAAGACACAGGTCATCTCTTATCTGAATAAACCATCACTCTACTAATATAGTTTCAACTAATGGCACTTAGGACTGGAACCTCTTTTTAAGACCTGTTCAAATCTTGGTAAAAGAATAAGTTGAAAGTCAACAGCATATTCAATCTGCCAGCCAGCCGGCCAGGCAAGCAGTATTTATATGTCAGCCACTACTCTTAATATTAAGGACTCAGCAAGAATTAGTCTCCCCTCTGCTGTTGACTTAATCTTTCAATGAGGTCAGAAGGGCAGGGGAAAGCTGTTAGATACTGTGACTAGAGAAGACATCTCTGATGTCTGATGTGAAGACTGGATGAAGCAGTGGTGGAGCCATGCACACAGCTAGCACAAGCAGAAAGATTAGCTGGTGTAAAGCATGGGGGGTGAACATGCTTAGTGTATGTCTGAGAACACCAGGAAGCCAGGGGGGTCTGAGGCAGAGAGTATGTTTTTTTGTTTTTTGTTTTTAAAAAGAAAGAAAAGAAGGAAGAGAAAGAAAGAAAGAGTGAAAGAAAGAAGAGAAAGAAAGAAAGCAAGAGAGGCCACCAAGGCCTTGTATAGGAACTGTGGGAGACCTTGGGAGTCTTGCCAGGAACCCAAGTCTGAGTCCCACAGTAAGAAAAGATGCCTTTAAGAGTTTTCAGTAAAGGAAAAAGGTCAGTGTAGAAAGGAAGTGGTAGTGAGGTGGTCAAAGTTAGTGTATACTTTAGTGACAGGCTGGGGAGTGTGAAGATACAGGCTGTGAATAAGAGGAATCAAAAGTGGAAGCACTGTTCCTGTCCTAGGCCCTGAGGGGCATCAAGACAGGAACAGAGTGAGCAGAATGGATGTGGCCTTCTCACATACTGAACCATGGTGAGGAACACGAGTGATTTGCAGTGGCAGAGCTTGGTTGGGTGTTTGCCAGTCACACCCAACTATATAGTATTTTTTATGTTTGAAGAAACAGAGACGAGCAAATTCTAGCAGTAGCCATCATTTCTTGAACATTTAATAATTGTTAGTTAATAATTCAGTATACTAATGAATGTACATAACTACTGTGGTTAACCCTCACATAGAAACACTTAGCTAGGGCATCTGGCATGTTGTGAACAATCTTAGAGAGCATTAGTTTTCTTACGCCAATAGGAATTATTTTATCATCCCTTTAACAGACCAGAAGGCCATCCCAAACTCTAGCTGCCTCCTCTAGTCTAGTGTTTGCTCTATAGACAGTGGTAATCAGCACACATGGCAACATGAAACTCTGCACTGTTCTTTTATATGACCCTAAATACAATCTTTTTTTCTGACCCTGTGTTTACCTTGAACTTCCTAATTAAAGCCTTTTGAATTACAGCATTTTCTCTTTGAAAATACAAACTTATTAGAACATTAGTACACTAGGATCATTTAGTTTTTGACCATGAAAAACCTGTAAAGATTGTAAAGCCATGTAAAGTTATAAGATCATGATGCTTCTCCATATTTTACTTCTTTTTAGAGAATTTCTGATCACAATAAATGTCAAAGGGTGAATATAGTATAGTGGAAATCAAGAAAACAAAATTCTGTCCCTGACCAGGTCAAAGTCTAAAGAGCTTCTGTTTCAGTCTGTCTTTAAACTGGACAGTAACACTCTTTTTATAGCGTAGATGGTAAGGGCCAATGAGGTTCAACAACTCAAAAATGTTAAGAATCCCTCAGGGTTCACAGAGAGCTGGATCCAGAAATCCTTAGATACTGAAATCAGAGCACGCTCAGTCCCTTATGCCATGAAGTATTTGTGCAGAAATTGCATGCATCCTACCACACATAGAGAGATAATCTCTAGACTAGTGATAATATTTAGGGAATATTGACAATGAGGAAAAAAAATTGCACACATGTATTTTCTCCAAATATCTCCAATCCACAGTTGATTGAACCCATAAACAGGAAATGGACAGATACAAAAAAGTTGAAGTATATATGAATGTGTTTTGAAAACAGAAAGATACAAGATATACAACACAACATCTTTATTATGGGGTGTAATTCCATAATCTGATAGCGGAAAATACTGCACATACTGCACACTCTCAGAATTGTCACTATTTTGTTTATTTTGGTTTTGTGAGTTAGTTTTGCTAGGTTTGCTTGGGGCTCATATGTAGCCCAGGCAGGCCTGAAACTAATGATTCTCCTGCCTTTTGGCCTCCCAAGTGCTGAAACTACAGGTAAATATGAATTTTTTTTTATTACTGACATGACATTACACCTGACTTAATGAGACACCACAGCCAAAACACATGTACATTTATACAACAACATTCTGTAATTATCTTCAAGCTATGTATATGAGCTACATATGAAATACACATGAATTTGGAAAGTAGTACACTCGAGTTCTAACCCCAGGATTATTCAGTAAAAATAAAAATAGCAACAGTGCTCCTCCCACCAAAACAACAAACACAACAAAAAGCCCCCAATAGCTTCTAAAATACTCTGGCAGCAAACATTTAGAAAAAGGGGCACTGGATGTAAACTATCCATTATATAAGCATTAACAATTTTATCAGAAAATCTGAGGCATCAACTGAAAAAGGAAGACTAAGTTAATGCAAACATTGCTTTACCTTTGTGTTGCAGGCTAGCTCCATGAGCCTCTTTGCATTTTCTTCTGAGCGGTATCTTTTAGGGAGCTGAACCCTGAAGAACTTCAGGGCACCCTCAAAGTCCGTCAACAGCAAATCATCCTTGGAAGTCTTGAAGAAAAAAAGAAAAAACATCCATACGTATGGAAAAAGGTCTGTTATGAAGATGCATAAGAAACATTTTACAATCCTAGAAATATGCCTTAGTTTTTGTAGAGTAACTTGCACACATTCCATCAGGGGCAGACCACAGGAGCACAATTGTCGACCTCTTAGCATGAGATGAAAACTAAACACACAACGGCACAGGGCAGGACAGCAGACACCTCAGCTCACCACAGACATGTACCTTTAGTAATCCAAGGGCAACATTAAAGATGACACTTATTCCCTGAAAGAGAAGAGACAAGACAGTTTTATTCTCTGTACCTGCTCTATTCTGTTAGCTTCAGGGCCATCAAGGAAAGGTACTTAAAGGAGACCCAATTTCCAGTTTTCCTCAGAGAAGACCTTTACCAGCCCTATCCTCACACGTAAGAATGAATGCTTTTCCGAAATAGTCCATGACACCAAACCCAAATATTATAGTTATTAAATAGTAACCTACAAATATGGCAATTCCACATGCCCCAGAACTGAATTTCTCTCAAGGTTTCTAATCTGTTTTCCTCTTCTAAACAAAATGGGAACCATGGGCTAAAGAACAGGTGAGGGAAAGCTCTAACAACTGTCTTCAAACTAAACAGTGTCTGCGCCTTGGTTCCTATAATTAATATATGTTTTTCTTTTTCTTTGTTTTTTTTTTTTTTTTTTTCCCTGAAACAGGGTTTCTCTGTGTAGCCCTGGCTGTCCTAGAATTCTCTCTGTAGACCAGGCTGGTCTTGAACTCAGAGATCTACCTGTCTCTGCCTTCTAAGTGATAGGATTAAAGATTTGTTTCAAAATATAAAAATAGAACCATGGTACATCATAATATCACAGTGGAAAATGTATATATATTTATATGCAAAAATGCATTTTCTTTTGAAACTCTCCTTTAGGTCCAGCTCCCTAAAGCAAAAATGGTGTAAGAGTATACAATAAAATTTTATAAGTAGTTAAACTGTAGAGATAGTGAGATTAAATTATTTTCAATAGTTTTTAATCACAATTTCTAAAGTTTCTGCCATAAACACATTATTTATAATTAGTTGGTTTTTTCTTTTTTAACAACACATACACACCTCTCAAATCTCAAGCTATGTCAGGGCTAAGGGCATTTTCCACACTGCCTTGTTCCTTTTTAGTGACAATGCTCTACTTTTAGCAAATTCCTACCCAGCCTCAAAATGTCTCCCTTTCAGCTAGCATGTCCACTTAATTCAGCTCACCAATACCCATGGAAATGGTGGGTGAGACTTCCAGCAAAGCTCCAGGCAGGAGATGTGGCACATACCTGTACTCTCTGCATCCAGGAAACCCTAACCAAACAAACAAGGTACCAGCTCCCAGTGCAAATACAGGTAGGTATGAGAGCTATGGCTTAGTTCTCAGGATAAGACTCTGAGAAAGCAGACTCTGAGAAATCTGTCTTCCTGTACACAAGAAAGAAACCTCTTAGTTTACTTACTCAGTGTCACAGAGCCAAACTGAATACTATCTAGTCTACATGTCTGATGTATGTCTTTTTAGCAGAGAGCCTCTGTGACAAAGGTGAGCAGAACACTGGCATCAGGAAGAACCACCTCAACCAAGACTTGGCAATACCAAAACAAAACAGAGGACAAGAGATTTGATAGAGCCTATCGTAAAGTGTACTGCACACCCAAGTGTAAGTCCTGTGCCTCTGATACATACCTCACATAAGAGCAGGTCGATGATATGGAAGACCATGTAGAGAGGGAATTTTGCAGTGAAAAGTGTAAGGAACCACTGGGAGGCATACATGTGTGCTTCAAGGCTGATATCCAGGAAGTGGTTGTATAGATCAGGAATATATTCCTGAAATAGCAAACTTATTAGTTCTGGGCACATATGCAGTTATGCTATTATTTCTCAGGAGGCTCATAAATCTGCCAGCAGTAGCCTAGAAAATCATATATTTTTCTAAATGTCTCTTAAGTGTTCATAGCACTTATCAGTTCTTTTCAGACTAAAAACTAGTTGAAAGGAATTCCCCCAGAATAGTGATAAGTATTTGGAAAGCTAGTTTTTATTTCCAAATTGTGAAATATTTTGGGAAAGCTTGTTTCACTTTGGTAGGGGACTCTTAAACAGCCTTTGTGAACACTTCTTCCCTGAATGTGCTATAGAAAAGGGCTCTTCAGATCATTTCTAAGACTGACTTTAATACATCAGATTTCCATCCTCATCACACAGTGAGAAACAACAGGAATAAAAGCCATTGTTTCCCAGTCTTTCTGCCACTAGTTTGCACCTATTCATCCAATCCAGTCTGAGTTCCCTTTACCTGCATGAGGCGCTCCAACTGGTAGAACTTGCAGTGTAGATCTTCAAAATTTTGCTTGAAAAGTTCCCTGAGACCATAGTCAAACATGATCTTGACCAGAACACTGAATGCCTGTTCTTCGGGCATCTGTAATAGAGGCAGAGAGGGGTGGGAAACAAAACAATTACCTCAGTATCTTCAGCTCGTCCTCCATTGTCTTATCAGGAAATGGAGTAATGCACAGAAACCCACCATTAATTGACTCAGGCAAGGAGTGTTTAAGGCCTACTCTGTTCTGCCATTGCCTCTCCCAAAGCAGGATGAACCACTAGAAGGACTAATGAGTACCCAGGACAGAAAAGCTTGTGTCTCCTACTCAGAATCAAGAATTGGCCTCTTCACTGGATTGATGGTAGTGCACGCCTTTAGCCCCAGCTCTTGGTAGGCAGAGGCAGGCAGATCTCTGTGAGTTCGAGTCTAGCCTAGTCTAGAGAATGAGTTGCAAGACAGCCAAGGCTACATAGAGAAACCCTGTCTCAACAGAAACAAGACAATATAAAACAAAACAAAAACAGAACAGGCCCCTCTGGGAGCATAGAATTAGAGGTGGGTACAAACAGTCTGGTACATGCTATGTTTTAGCTTTCTGAAATCATAAGGTTTTTATTCAATTATTTTTCTTCCCCTTGCCATAATGTCATTCTGGCAAATTGTTTTTCCTTTCCTATTATTGTTAAAAAAAAAAAACTGTTTGTGAGGGTAGAGAGATGGTGGCTAGGAATACTTATTACTTTTGGCAGAGAACCTGGATTTGGTTCTTACTACTCAAATGGTGGCTCACAAACACCTGTATCTCTAGTTCCTGGGGATCCACTGTACTCTTCCAGGTTCTGTAAGCACTAACATGCATATGAGCAGACACAGGCATACACAAATACACATAAATTAATAGTCAATCTTAAAAAGGAGCTTGTCTCAAAAAACAAAGGAAAACAATGGCTTGTTCTAGAAGAGCCCTTTCCCATTCTCAGTCTACTGAGAATGCTGTTACTCAACAGCAACAGCAGTGCAGCAGCCGTGGTGGCAGGGCTGTTGAATTACCAGGACCCTCCTGCAGTTCTGTTTATCAACATCCACCTAAGAGTAAGCGCATCTTCCATGGTTTTATAGGCCATTCCTCCAAGAGTATGGCGAGATGTCTAGGTTTCAAATGGAAGGAAAGCACTGGTAATGTTTTAAGGCTTCACATGAAGGTAGCAAGGTTCACGAAAGTCAAGATGGTGGACAAGCTTGTGTGGACAGGACCCAGAGAGAAAAAAGCACAGTGAAAGAGCAATACAAGCAGATTCTTATTGGAAAGGACAGAGTATATGGGGCAAAATCCTAGCTTTTCTGATATCTTTGCTGTGAAATGTGGCTCCCTTTTCCCACTTGTGAGGAAAAGTGGCTTGATTTGCGTGGCATTTCTGATTCTGAGTTGCCCATTTCCCTTGCAGGGAAACAAACACTTAAAACTAAGTAAGTAGGAGTTCTAAATAGGAGTGGGATTTGAGAAAGCCATTTTCATGGGGTGATAATGTTAAACGGGTATAAATGTTCTTTGAGTGAAACTATAATAAAGAAACAAATAAACAAATAAGTAGATGTACTCCATAGGTGTTCAAGACAAACATAAAGTCTGGCTAACACAACAAAGCATAGAGAAAAAGAACTAATGTCATAGCATTAGCATATTCCAAATCACCCAGAACCAACCCTGAGCCACATGGGTAGTGCCTACTACAGACACTGACTTCACAGTAGAGCAAATAGTATTTTTCCTTTTTACATGTAAAGTCATCTTCACAAAATGGCTTAAAATCCTAAGAGTTCCTGCTCTCCAGAGCAAACATGTGGGCTTTATTTTGGCTTGCGTGGTTGTTCTCACGTGAGCCCTTGTTTTCCTCTCTAGCTCTATTTTTTCCTTCCTATGTAGTCTTTAAATTCCATATATTTGAAATTCTTCAGCTTCTACATAATATATGAGCCCTTTGACAGCAATGTTCTACTATATTTTCATGGTTTTAAAATATCTGCATAGCAATGTTATACAAAAGAAGGTTAAATGACAATGAAGAGGAAGTCCACGATTTTCAGGGTTCACTGCACTGTAATGGTTTGTCTGCCAAGAGGAGCCTTTAATCTAAACAAGGTCTCTATTACAGTCTTGCACTGTTCATGGATTTTACCTGGATGGAGCCATTAAAGTCCCTAAAGGCATGCTGGTACAGCCATCTGCTTACAGATGGTGGTGTCACACTAGCTTTGTACTGTGCTCACTCTTAAGCTTCTCATTTCCAGCAGTACTCAGATCTGCTGACACCACATGGGTAGTATGCTTGCCACACACAGGAAGACAGAAGCTTTCCCAGGAGCTTACTGTGTAACTAACTGCGCATTCGCTAACATTCTCATGCAGCAACTCAGGTCAGTTGCCAATCAGGAGGGGAGGGCTCAGCTCCTTTCAGAGATGGACCACTGATAGCGAGGGTGGCAAGTTGGGAGCAGGGGAATGACCTCATTCAGCTCCATTTTTAAGTTAAATCATGAGAAAATGATTAGGCAAATTAAGAATATGACACATTTTATGAGACAATATGGTTAAATTTTTTTTAAAGTGAGTATCTTGAAACAAGCAGATATTATGGTGGTTTAGATAAAGTATAAGGACAGAAGACAAATGTAGACCTGACTTGCTGCTGGATCACAATTAGAGTAATGGCCATAAAGGAGCCACATATGGGCAGGGGATATAGCTCGCTGCTAAAACATTCACTTAGTATGTTTGATGCAAAAGAATAACTAATAGCTAATGAAGTACATCCTTTGGGAAGGGCACTCAGTGTGGACTGTTGCCAGGGAGGATGTCAGTGTAGGATGTGCTCATACTACAATTATGATGCAGAATGCACTGGTCCTTACAAGACACAAGCTCAAATGTTTGGTACTTTCTTTTAAAAGATAGTATATTGTTTTTGTTGAAATGAAAAATGAAGACAAAGAGATAAATCAGTAACTAGAAGTCAAATGAAGACTACTTAATATGGCTGTTCAGCTGATATTTCTATGAATTAAAAAAATGAAAAAGTTGGAGTAAAGGTCTTTATTAAATGATTCTATGAATAAAATGATACTAAAGAAATTCTTGCTTTCTTCCCAGCACATACACTTCCAAACAGATACTAATGATACTGGCTGGCTACTTTCCAGACAACAAAATGTTCCCAAGGGTTAACCAATGCTGAAGTTTAATGTTCTTAGAAAAATCTAGTTTCAACAGTGCCACTCATCCTCATCAGATTTCTTTTCATAGTGCCACTAAAGTTAAGTTAAGTTTATAAATATACAAGCTAAAGATTCTGTCTAAGACTGTGGCCAAGCCCAATCTTAAGCCTTGCTTAAGTCTAGGCAGGCACATGGATCAGACCCAGCTACTCACGTGGAGAAGCAGCACAGCGGCGAGGAAGGACTGGCCCTGGCAGTAACCAATCTCTTCATCATACACAGAGTATGCCTGCATAGGGGGGAAAAAGGTGCTTAAATGAATTAGACCTTCATGGGCCATGCCTGCTCTCTCAGACCTTGAAGACAGGAACCAAGAGGATGCTACCCAAGCCTCACTGAAACAATATGAGGTCGAAAGAATGAAGCTAAAACCTCTCTCCAATGTCAGTGATGTCTTCACAGTAAAAGACACTGTCACCATACTGCCTCCTGTGGTCAAGGGGAAAGTCTATCAGAAATGAGTTGAGCATTAAATCAGGGGTTTAGAACTAGGAGCTGTTAGAACCTGATTAATCCCCCCTTACCCTGTGACTCTGTGGTTCTTGTTAAACATGCATGGCTATTATAGCATCTACTAGATCACATTTTAAATGCCCATCTTCTCTAGGACTCTACAGTGCTCTGAGGGCCAAGACGACGTGTTCTTCACCTAGACACTAAATTAGTTACTCAATCATCCATCTGGATATGAGGCTTTGGTGAAGACAGTAAGAACCTTTGCGATAAAATTGATGGCTCTAAAATCATTTACTTTCTGAGGCAGTAGATGAGCATTCCCATTGCCTACGAGCATTATCTTGACTAGAACACTGACACCTAACTTTCCCCACAGTTCATTTTCTGCTCCCCCCCCTTTTTTTTTAAGCATTAGTATTTTTCATGTAAGCTATGGTAGAAAGGGGGAATGCCCATAAAGCAGTGGTTCTCAACCTGTGGGTTGTGACCCCTTTGGGGATTGTATATCAGATATTTACTTTATGATTCATAACAATGGCAAGATTACATTTACTAAGTAGCAATGAATAACTGGATGGTTGAGGTCACCATAACATGAGAAACTATATTAAAGAGTTGCAGCATTAGGAAGGTTGAGAACCACTGCCATAAAATAATGATGTATGATCCTATGATTTCTGTCTTCTGTATGATAAATTTATTTCTGTTGAAACTTTTCTTATTTTCCCAGTTCTTTGTACCAAGGTTTCTCTGTCCTAAAAAAGGATATGAAAATTAGATGTTTTGGAATTTGTCTTTCAGGCTGTTTATCCGATGATAGGCTTTATCATTTAGCTTAGAGACACCATAGCTTTACTAACATACAATCCTCTCTTCATAAATTTGGGTAGAAGTCACTGTAATTTTATTAGGGTTCCTAGCTTATCACATCTTGTTTGATGAGAGGGCTACAAGATGAGGAGCATATATAATTTTTTCCAAAGACAAGATACAAAAAGAGGGTTTCAGAGAGAATCTGTTTATAATACCAGGAAATGTACCACTTTGCACACCTTAAAATAAAAATTAGTATGCCGGGCAGTGGTGGCGCACACCTTTAATCCCAGCACTTGAGAGGCAGAGACAGGTGGATTTCTGAGTTCGAGGCCAGCCTGGTCTACAGAGTGAGTTCCAGGACAGCCAAGGCTATACAGAGAAACCCTGTCTCGAAAAACAAAAAACAAAAAACAAAACAAACAAACAAACAAAAATAAGTAAAAATAAAAATTAGTGTTAGGGCCAATATTTCTAAGAGTATGTTGAAAATTGTCATGGCTAATCACTATCACAGTTCTCTAGGAAGCATTTGGTAATGTCTTTGTAGGTATTATCAATAGCTTATCAGTTACAAGTCAGAAGCCTGTGTCAGTTTTGCTGGATTATGTGCACATTACTCAATCATAGAGTTGACTTACTATCCTCACTCAATCTTCTCTAGTGAAGGGCTCAGCACAGCTTAAGTACTTTTATGAAGCAAGATGAAATACATATATATGGAATCTTCACAGGTAGAGAATTCAGAGGAATGTACTATTCATAATCAGGCTGATGATGGACTGACTGAATGCACACAGGCACTGAAAGTACATGGCGTACTTTGGGAACCAGTTGAGAGTATAAGGTCTAAGTGTCTATAATGAAGAAAGGGAGGACAAGTCATTTCATTAGTTCATTTATGTTTAGGGAACATCTGTAATATGCTCAGCAGTGTGCCAAATGCTACTGTACCTAAGAACTTCAGTCAGTAAGGGGATTCCAGCACATCAATTCAGTTGTGTAAAAGTAAGACTGGCAAAGCAGTAGCAAGCCATGACTTAGGATATATTACAAAATGTCACCAATGAATAAGGTTTTTTTTTTCTTTCTTCATTTTACTGTGTTTTGACTGTAGTACTCAAGATTTTTGTGGAAGCTGTACAAATGAGCTAATTCTTGGGTAAACAGGAAGCAAATTTTGAGGTAGTGCAAAAGTAGACTAGACCCCCAAAGGCTGGGCTACTAATTCAGAGCAGTTTTTTTTTTATAATTGCCAGCAACATAAGAGGGCAAGCAATGAACGAGCAAGCACAGAGGGATAGTACAACTCTAAGGGTCATCAACCATCATATCAAACATCCTGGGAATGTGAAATGGTGGGGAAGATGACCTTAGTCAATCAAGGGCTGCAGAAGCTGAGACAAGGATCCTCATCGATCCTCACAGTGCCAGCTGGGTGAAGGCACTTAGGGAATTCTGGATATAGACCTGGCACTGGAGGGCTGAGAGGGACAGTAGTCTACCTTGAAGTATTAAAGGATAGAAGAAGCAATGTGGAGAGAGACTGACATGAAGAGAATATACAGAAATTCATCATGATAATCAGCTCCTCTGTATTTGAAAGCATTCACAATAAACATGTGTTTAAATGAACTGGAAGATCAACTTTGTTCTATGATTCTAACAGAGACTAACAGGCACATAGGAGTTTAGATCTCAAGCTAGCCAAGGCAGATTTGGGCACATCTACCCAGTATGGAGAGCTGCTGGTCTGAGAGTGAGAGGGCCCTCAAGAGGACAATGTAGAGCTAGGGAACTGCCACCTGAGCTCTTGGTGAAAGGTCTCTGTGGTAAAGCAGGCAGAAAGAAAGAGAGCAAAGTTACTGGTAAGGCTAAGATGTGGACGGAGATCAAGGGATAGGAAGTAGACACAAAAGAATAAGGCAGAGACATTGAAAACAGGGACACTTTCTGAGAACTCTGCAACATGGTGAGGAATAGTTGGAGGCAATGTGTGGAAAGTATAACCAAGAAGTGGCTAAAGGACCTAAGAAAATTACAAACAGAATTACAGCTTTGAGTGTCTTGGAGAAATTAAGACTATAAACTCAAGAATGACTTCTGTAAAGTTTAACTGTCCTTAATAGTTCAAATTACCTAATGTGTAGTCACAAAGCCTATCTTAAAAACTAGCTGATAGTTTTCTCTTTTTAATTCTAAGTGGATGTTTTTTAAGAGCACATTTTGAGCTTTGCCTGAACATACTACAAAAACCTATCTTATTCTGAGAAGGAAAATATCAAAGACCAGTTCTGAAGACAGGACAAGGCTGAAAAAGTCCAGTCCCAATCTCTCTTAGCACTGTAGCTCTGATGTATGCTACTTATACTCTGTATCTGTAGGATGAGAATAAATATAATTTAAAATGATTACAACTGAATAGGCTATTACTTTTACAGTGTTCAGATATAGGTCTTTTTGACAGAAATGAGTATTGACCATCACTTACTTATTAAGCCATAGTGCCACAAACCCACCTGAATGGGCACTGGCACTATTGTTGGGTCATATCCATGGGGCAACTCCAGCACTTACAATGTGTATAAACATTCTAAGGCTCCAAGGTGCTTTACAAACCAAATTTGAAAAATCTAAATCTGTACTATCAAGAATTGGGGAAACACAGATAACTATATAAGGAAAGTTTATAACCTTTGTCTTGCTAAGCTTCACATTTAGCTATACTGGCTTCAGTTAATCTGTGTTTCTTTCTGGTTATCAAACTTGTTCTCTGACAATCTCATGCATGTATATAACACATTCTAATTATTTTCACTCCACTCCTCTTATCTCTCTTTATACCTGTTGACAGCACTGTGACAAATCCCTTTCCCACATTTTTAAATTTTTGGTTTTGTGTCCTACTTACTTGAACTAGGATTCAGCATGACTTTGAGTTTGAAAATCTCCATTGGAGTCTGGTGGGCTCACCAGTGGGTACACAACTAAAGAGGGCTCTCCCAGGATCTTTCAGTAACCAACAATTTAGTAGAGAAGAATAAAGTCCCATAGTTATCCATGATTGGCTGTTGATTGACAGTCCTGTGCAGACCCAGTGGTTGTGAGTTCGTAATGCAATGGCTTTTCTCACCCAGTAGATAGTATTGTACAGGCCTTCAGTCTATCTTCTGTCTCTTCCGTTTTCTCTGCCCTCTTAGATCCTGTTTTCTATTTCCTTATTACATTTAGAAACACTAACTGGCTGAGAATGATCTTCAACATAACATGACCTACACAAAGACAGGTACTTGCAGAGTCCAGAGGCACTGGATTCTGTGGTGCTAGAGATCATAAAGTTGTAAGGCACTAGATGTGCGTGCTGGGAACCAAACTCAGGTGCTCTGAAGAGCAGTGCATGCTGTTACACTGAGTCATTTCTCCAGCCTCATTACTTCCTGATTTTTGATGAGTCTAAAATTGTGTTATCTTGGGCTTCCAGATCCTCTCTTTTGCTGTCTTTCTTTTCCAATTCTAACATCAAATACAAACTATACTTTGTAGACAGCATGGTGAAATGCACCTGTACTCCCATGATTTGGGAACTGGAGACAAGAAGAACACAAATTTAAGACCAGCCTCTGGTACATAATGAGACTGAAGACAGTCTAGTCAACATGAAGCTGTTTCAAAAAAAAAAAAAAAAGAAAAAGAAAAAGAAAAGCATTCCAAACAAAAACCCTCAAACAAGTCCCCAAATTATATTTTGTAGTTTGCCTTTTATATAATTTCAAAGCAGAGCGCCATTTAAATCCAATACTTTTATATTTTAAATAGGAAATACCTTGCATATTTTATATAAGGAATCTTGTCCATCTCCCCCTGTGTCCTTGAAGTAGTCATGAGCTGGAAATGTGCGGTTAATATCTCTGGTGATAGCACTGTCTTGGGGAGACTCCTGTAGAAACAGAGGAAGAGGGGAAAGGGAACATTAATAAGATAAATACCTATTTGGATCTGTATAAAAGGAGCCCGTTATTTATGTACTTCAAGTGCTATAACACATACTCGTGCCTGTACTTTTACTACCTTTTCAGGGGACTTAAGTAAGAGGAATAAGTGTGGACAAGATGGAAAAAAGAGTACAATTTCATTGCACATACCTGACGCTATATTCCCTATACATTGCAAACAAATGAGGTTAACGACCTTTCTACTGTATAAAAAATCAGTTTTCCACAAAAAAAAAAACCATTAAGTTTACCACAAAAGAGGAGGCAATGTGCAATGTTTAATCTACTGACACAAAGCTCACATACCCATTATCAAATAGAAAAGCTAAGCCCCTAACCAGAGTCTCTATGGGGCAAATGGCATAAAAATGCAGAAGAAGACCAAAAAATGGCCCAGGGTTCAAATGGCCTATGAGAAACTTCCCAGTTCTTCCTCCAGAAGAGAAAAGTGGTCTCTGAATCAACAAAAGTGAACAGGTATCAACAATGTTTGCAGTTGTCCATGAGGCATGCCAGCACTCTGATGGGTCTAACTCCATAACAGTTCTCATCCAACTACTGCCATTAATCATGGGAATAGACAATGAGAGTTCACATGGTAAATTTCTGAAGCCTGAAAAAATGCACAAATTGGAGCCCCATGAGAACCAATGGCTTAAAATACTTGGTCTTGCAAAATATGCTGAAGAACTCGGAACAAATTCATTTGATTTGCTGTAGGCCAACCCATATGAACCCACCCACCAAAATTATAATGATGAATTTAATAAGTTCTTGTCAGAATAATAACATTACAAGTCTCACAAAGTTCTGAAAACAAATCTATGTCCTTGACAATGTGACCAGAGAGATTTGTGTAATGATTTCAAATTCACCTAACTGCTGCTGCTGTCAACTGAAGTTTATAATGTTCAGCCTAGAAACAATGTCAGACCCTGCTATAACTTGTATGTCCTTTTGAATACTTGGTCTTTCATGAGTGTTAAAAATACTTCCTGCAGTTTACAAAAAGTCAACTATCAAGAAACTGTAAATAATTGTATCTTGTCTCTTGTATTTCAAGCAGCAAAATAAGACAGTTTAAATAGCTCAGAAACTACACACATTAGGTTGGCTAAAATTAAAATACCAAGTGTTGGTGGAATAATGCAACTCTTACAAATAATGACTAGGCTACACCATCATGCAATCACTTTAGTAAATTACACAGCACAGTCAGCATCTACATGTTTACTATTTGCTAATAAAAGGAACAAGAATTACATGGAGAAATGAATGATTCTAAGACCGAGGCAAAAAAACAAACAAACAAAAAAAACCAAAAAAAAAAAAATCAAAAAAAAAAAAAACCAGAAAACCATTTTGTATTGTCAAAAAAGACAAAAATAAACAAACAAGTTTTTTTTATTACTACCACAAACCACGCCAATGAACTCATAACAATAATACTATCCACAAGACAATGCTTAAACTGAAGGGAATGTGTCAGAAAGATACTGACAGCCAAGGAAAATGTTCCTGATGACTTAAGCCAAGAAAGGGATAAAGTAATATTGAGTTATAGTCTTGAGTGTGAGAGAAATACCCATGAGTTTCTACATTTAAAAAAATGGATTGCCTTCTGGTCTAGGCCCGAGCAATGAGCAGATCCCGGGCAGTATCTTAGGTAAGGAGATAGCAACACTCGCCCCAAACAGGGAGTAACTGTGACCCACTGGGACCCAGGAACTCACTCCTGACCCGGAGCACTGGTTCCTTCCTCTCTGCAACTGAGCAGTGAGCAGATCTTGGGCCTCAGCTCTAACCCAAGTAACACCCACCCCCACACAGTTCTGAAACAACTAAGATAATAGGAAAGGCAGGCTCTAGTCAGAGACAGGGCAGGTAGTGCTAAGGAGATCCAGATGGCGAAAGGCAAGAGGAAGAACATAAGCATCAACAACCCAGGGTACTTGGCATCATTAGAACCTAGTTCTCCCACACTAGAAAGTCCTGAATTCCCCATATCACCAGGAAAGCAAGATTCAGGTTTAAAATCACTTCTAATGATGATGATAGAGGACTTTAAGAAGGACATAAATAACACTCTCAAAGAATTTGAGAACACAGGTAAACAGATAGAAGCCCTTTAAAGAGAAAACACAAAAATCCCTTAAAGAATTAAAAGAAAACACAACCAAACAGATGAAGGAATTGAACAAAACCATTGAGGACATAAAAATGGAAGTAGAAACAATAAAGAAATCACAAAGGGAGACTGCCCTGGAGACAGAAAACCTAGGATAGAAATCAGGAGTCATAGATGCAAGCGTCACCAACAGAATACAAGAGATAGAAAAGAGAATCTCAGGTGCAGAAGATACCATGGAAAATATTGACACAATTGTCGAAGAGAACACAAAACGCAAAAATTTCTTAAGACAAAACATCCAGGAAATACAGGACACAATGAGAAGACCAAACCTAAGGATATAATAGGTATAGATGAGAGTGAAGATTCCCAACTTAAAGGGCCAATAAATATCTTTTACAAAATTATAGAAGAAAACTTCCCTAACCTAAAGAACGAGATGCCCATGAACATATAAGAAACCTACAGAATGCCAAATAGACTAGACCAGAAAAGAAATATCTCCTGTCACATAATAATCAAAACACAAAATGCACAAAACAAAGAAAGAATATTAAATGCAGTAAGGGAAAAAGGTCAAGTAACATATAAAAGGCAGACCTATCAGAATTACACCAGACTTCGCAACAGATACTACAAAAGCCAGAAGATCCTGGACAGATGTCATACAGACCCTAAGAGAACAAAAATGCCAGCCCAGGCTACTATACCCAGCAAAACTCAATTACCATAGATGGAGAAACCAAGATACTCCATGACAAATCCAAATTTACACAATATCTCTCCACGAATCAAGCATTACAAAGGATAATAGCAAAAAAGCTCCAATACAGGGAGGGAAATTATACCCTAGAAAGAGCAAGAAAGTAATCCTCTTCCAACAAATCCAAAAGAAGATAGCCACACAAAGATAATTCCAAATCTAATAACAAAAATAACAGGAAGCAACAATCACTGTTCCTTAATATCTCCTAACATCAATGGACTCAATTTCCCAATAAAAAGACATAGGCTAACAGACTGGATACGTAAATAGGGCCCAGCATTTTGCTGCATATAGGAAACCCACCTCAGTGACAAAGACAGACACTACCTTAGAGTAAAAGGCTGGAAAACAATTTTTCAAGCAAATGGTTCTAAGAAACAAGCTGGAGTAACCATTCTAAAACTTCCAGCCCGAGAACACAAAGGGAGGGACTCATGGCTCCACCTGTATAGGTAAGTTGAGAGTGGCCTTGTCAGGCATCAGTGGAAGTAGAGGGCCTTGGTGCCTGAAAGTTGGATTCCCTAGTGGTGGGGAATTCAAGAACAGGGAAGCAGGAATGGGAGGATGGTGGGAGCACACCCTCATAGAAACTCCCAGAATTATATGGATTAGACATGACAGAGGCAGGCTACCAGAAGACTAGATTCCAGAATTCAAGCAAAAAATTATTTTGATACTAAAATTTGCTTTGAGAATTGTATATTGCAGGATACACAGCCTTGGTGGTGTATCTACTCATCAAGCAAGCTGAGCAGACCTGCTTGAATCTCTGATGTCCTGGAATTTCAGTAGGATGCAGTGAAGACACAGATGTCAGAGGCTTATCAGTTTACTCTTCCCCCGTCCCTCTTCTAATAGCTCAACGCCTGTAACCAGCTTGAAGAAGTTAATGAAGAGTCGATGCCCCTATTCCCTGGGCTTGGGGACTGCTGTCTTTCTAGGGAAAGTAGTGGTTTTGTCAGAACAGGGAGGAATAGCTAGGATTTATTGCATAGCCATAACTTATTGGTAGAAATCTGTATAATTGCTATTAAGCTGAAGTTATAATTTTTTAAATGGTACCAAATTTACTTTGATTTCAAATTTAAGAGAGTTTCATTGGTACGAGTTTCTTACTGATATAAAAATGAGATTAATATTGTTACTCTCATAGGCATTGTGCCTATATAACACATTTAGGAATACAAGGCTTAGACCCGTCCTTCTTTAACTTTTTTAACTGATTTGAGATGGTTAGCCTGTGAGTTAAGGGCCTATAGCAAATTCATGGTTCTGAGTTTATTGTTAGGGTGTTTTCTATATTTTATTTAGAAATAGCTGAGAGGAGTTAACAGACCACAGTCCAGATTGCCTTACATGGACAGTTAGTTTTCAAAACGTCAAAAGTCCACAGAATTGACGTTACAAACATTTCTGTATTAATGTTCATTTTGATTAGAGACCTGTCTGCTCCTGACAGCTTCCTGTCTTGGATTCTAAGAAGAAATTGAGCATCTTTGGAGTTACTCCAGTTGTGGCGAGACAGCCACTAGGCAAGAATTGCCTCTTTTCATCTACAGACAAATTACTGTCCAGAAAAGGACACACTTGCAGAATAGTCAACTGATTATATCTGCCAAGACAGAGTAATCAGTCCTTAATAATTCTGCATCACTAGGTGTGTCAGATGATCCTGGGCCAGAAGGCTGAAGATCAGATGCTCCAACATTTTGTCCAGGTGTTCAGTGGTCTGTATCAATTGGCTAAGTTTTAGAAGCTATGCTTTGTGCTTCCCATAATTTCAGTTAATTCAGTCATCCGACGGAGTTGAAGACTTATAGTCTCATAGCCAATCCTGGCTATTTACTTTTAGAGAAAAGATTTGAGAGGATAGTTTTCAGCTGACATTCATTCTTAAGCCAAGAAAAAGGCCAGGTTCAAAACTAAGTCTTTTAGTTAGGAGAGATGACAGAGGTTCTGGTTAGTCAACAAAATGTTGGGACTGGGTATTAGGTCTATCTTGTACCTTACTGATAACAAATTGGTATAGTTATGCTCTAATTGTATTT